GGAAGGCAAAGCAAGGAAAGGGAGTGGTAAACAAGGAAGTTGTAGGCAAGGCAAAGCAGGGCAGGGGAGAGGAAGGCAAGTCAAGTCCAGTGATGGGTAGGCAAGGCAAGGATAGGGAGGGGCAGAAAAGGAAAGGCAAGGTCAGGCAAGAAAGGGGTAAGCAGGTCAAGGCAGATGATGGGAATTAAAGGCAATGCAAAGAAAGGGAGAGGTAGGTGGGGCAAGGTATGGCAAGGAAGGGGTAGGCAAAGTATTGAAAGTCAATGGAGGGGCAGGCAAGGCAAGGCATGGCAAGGGGTGGTCAGGCATGGAAAGAAAATTCAAAGTTGGGTAGCAAATTCAAGGCAAAGCAAGGGAGGGGTAGGCAAGGCAATGCAAGACTGTATCAGGGCTTAATTAGATGTTGATACTTTTGGTCTGTGTTTGGCCCAGCCACCTGTGAGAGTTTATCTTTTTCCTGCCAAGTTATGAGAAAAGCACTGATAAACAGGAACTTCCTCCTTGAAGGAAGAGTTTTGTACAAACTACAATTAATTGGTGTCTTCTTATTGGCTGATTGCCTTCCAAGGGCGTTTGAAGGAGAAAGTGAAGGGGAGGAGGATGAAGTAAGCCCCCAGACTCATTTAGAAAAGACCCCCGGGGGGGGGAATTCCAGGGTACCCACGCATGTGCAGAAGAGATGCCACTTGCATAACGGGGGGTGGGACTGAAGGCCTCTAGCTGGGCGGTGCTGGCCACACCTGCCCAGGTAGACATCACCAATTAATTGTATAAAAAGCAGATAGCTCATGCTGGAATTTCGCAAGCTTCACATCAAAGGACAACGTTGCCTTTTGCGGGGATGCCCGCCATCTTGTGAGCCTGCCGACACTCCGAGGATGCAGCTTCTGCTATGGGTAATTCTAGGCATTCTGGGGTCAGTAAGAACTTCTTAAGCAACACCTGTTGAGAGAGGGAGTCGTACTGAGGGCTTATTTCCCTACTCCTTCCTCTCTTTCGGGTTTTCATTTTGTTGGTCACTTCTTGGTAATAAATATTGTTTGTGTTAAGCTTTCAACGGTGTAATGGTTTCAGTTTCAGCATCCTTCCGAACATTCCCTGATACATAATTTGGCGATGAGGGTGGGATGCTGAACACGAAATGCACCGTTGCCAAGGAAAAGGTGGACTCTGCAAGTGGGGTGCATGGTTTGTAGAGTTTTGCCACTTATTGTGGAAAAAAGCAGGATCCTTAGGTGGGGTGCGTAGCCTGTGGAGTGCACTGCTGTTTTTGTAGAAAAAAGTAGGACCTGCTGGTGGAGTACACACCTTGTGGGGTTGCGCCACTTATTACTGAGAAAAGCGGGACCTATGTAGCTTGTAGGACTGTGTTGCTTGTTGCTGGGGGGGCAGCCTACAGAGTGTAGCTGCCTCCCTGTGTTTTTGTTGACTCTCATGTTAACTGTGTTGTCTGTCCATTGTGTCATTGTGATATACCTGGTTTTGGCTGGGATGGAGTTAATCTACTTCTTAGTACCTGGTACAGTGCTGTGTTTGGATTCAGTGTGAGAATGACACTGATAGCACACTGATGGTTTAGTAGCTGCTCAGCAGTGCTTACCCACTCAAGGAGCCTTCAGTGTTTCATGCTCTGCCAGAGAGCTGGGGCACAAGAAGCTGGGAGGGAGCACAGCCAGGACAGCTGACCTGAACAGGCCAAAGGGATATTCCATGCTGTGGAATGTCATGCCCAGCACATAAACTGAGAGGAGTCAGCCAGAAGGGGCTGATCACTGCTCGGGGTGGCAGGGTTGGCTAGTTGCCGTCCAACGAGACTCTTTCTGAGTAGAGTGTTAGTGTGTATGAGCGTGTTAGGGGCTGTGGGTGGAGGAACAAGCATGAGTTTATTAGTAACAGTGTTAAAACGCCGGGATGGGGGTCGTGGAGTTGCCCCTCCCATCGGAGTTTCCCAGGTGGACAGAGGAGCTTTGGAATTCACTCAGGGATCATTTTGGAGCCACGTTGGGGCCCACTGCGTTGGAGTCACCGCCTTCTCCGGAGTCCGCTGCAGCCAGTGCCATTTCAGTTCACGCGGTGGTCACGCATGAACCGGTGTCATAACAGGAAAATGCCACTCAGGTGAGGAGAATGAGATGCACACTGCTGTGATCTGTGGGACACCCAGAAGGTGTATGACCTGTCTGCGTGCCTCCCCCCCCCCGTCCCGCTGTGTACCGTGCTGCATCTCCTTTCCCTTCTCAGGGGCTTCAACAGTGTAATGGTTTCAGTTTCAGCATCCTTCCAAACATTGCCTGATACAAAGACCAATGGGGGTAAGGCAAGGCAAGGAAGTGTTAGGCAAGGGAAGGTCAGGAAGTTGTAGACGAGGCGAGGCAAGGCAGAGGAGAGGAAGTCAAGTCCAGTCAGGAGTAGGCAAGGAAAGGATAGAGAGGGGTAGGCAGGGCAAGGAAAGAAGGGGTAGACAAGTCAAGGTGCGGGATGGGTCTGCAAGGCAATGCAGGGCAAGGGAGGGGTAAGCAGGGCAAGGCAAGGCAGGGGTAGGCAAGGCAAGGTCTGAGACACAAGAAAAGTCTTGTTGGGTCAGAACCAACTCAGGGAGGGGGGGACGACGGATAGGTCAAACCTCACAGAGGTGAGGTGGTGTTGTATCCCTCATGGCAGGCCCCTGGAGCCCACATGGGAAAGCCCCAGAGTAGCTGCCAGTCAAAGGCAGCCCGGGAATGCTTCAACACACCACACCTCCTGGAGCCCCTAACTCAGCTTCAGATTGACAGGGACAGTGAGAACACTGCCCCTCACCCTGGCCTGGAGCCCCAGAATGGCCAGTGGGCCAGAGGTCCCATCTGATGGGGTGAGGGAGTGGCCACAAGGACCAGAGCAGGTGAAACCAAAGGCATATGCTCTTCATGCCATCATGGCCCTGCCATCTGGACATGTGAGAGCTGGACTTCCACAAAGCTCCGATGGTAGCTATATAATAATCTGCCTCTTTTTCCTTCTTACTCCCTCCTCTTCTCTTTCCTGATGTTTTGGGTAGCTTAAAGCTGGCGGGATTAAATCTTGCTAAGTTGTGAGAGTTGTCATGTGCTGGGTCAGTGCTTTGGTGGAATGCTTTGTTTTGATTGTATGCTACCCTTTTGAAATTTTGCCAAGTTCTCTTATTTTATCCCCTAAATTATCAGAAAAGGTACCTCTTGAGAAGTGTGTGGCTTATTTTCTTTACGCTATCTTGAAGTATTAAAGAACCCTGTATATTTTTAAAAGTAAAACTCCTGCCTGAGCTTGCAGCTCTGGGGCTGGGGTGTTACAGAAGGCAAGTCAAAGGAGGAACAGAGAAGGCAAGGCAAGACCAGGCAAGAAATGGTAGGCAGGGAGGGTGATGGATATGCAAGGAAATGCAAGGCAAGGGAGGGGTAGGCAGAGCAAGGAAAGGCGAAGGGTGGGTTGGCAAGGCAAGGCAAGTAAAAGCTAGGCAATGAAAGGAAGGGCAAGGCAAGGTAAGGGGATGGCAAGTCACATCCAGTGATGGGTTGGCAAGTCAAGGCAAGTAAAAGCTAGGCAATGAAAGGAAGGGCAAGGCAAGGTAAGGGGATGGCAAGTCACATCCAGTGATGGGTAGGCAATGAAAGGCAAGGCCAGGCAAGGGAGGGGTAGGCAGGGCAAGGGAAGTGATGGTCAAGCATGGCAAGGAAATGCAAGGTTGGGTAGGCAAGGCAAGGCAAGGCAAGAGTGTTATGCAAGGGAAGGCCAGGAAGTTGTAGGCAAGGTCAGGGAAGGCAGGGAAGAGGAAAGCAAGTCAAGTCCAGTGAGGATTAGGAAAGGTAGGGATAGGGAGGGGCAGGAAAGGAAAGGCAAGGCAAGGCCAGATAAGGGATTTGAAGGCTGAGTAAGGAAAGGTAAGGGAGGTGTAGGCAAGGATTGACAAGGGAGAGATAGGCAAGGAAAGGGAAGGGAGGGGTAGGCAAGGCAAGTGAGGGCAGGAAAAACAAGGCAATGGATGGGTTGGCAAGGCAAGGCAACTGAGGGAAGGCAAGGGAGTGGTAGACAATATAAGGCAAGGCAGGGATAAGCAAAGCAAGGCAAGGGAGGGGTAGGTAAAGCAAGGAATTACTGCTGTCTTGCCTTGCCTTTTTCTGCCTACACCTCTCTTACCTTGCATTGATTTGACTTGCCTACCCCTTTCTTGTCTGCCCTTGCCTTGCCTGCCCCTCCTTTGACTTCCATTGCCTTCCCTACCCCTCCCTTGCCTTGCCTTACTGACCCCTCAAAGTCCTTTCCTTGCCTTGTCTACTACTCCGATGCCTTGCTTTGCCTACTACTTCGATGCCTTGCCTTGCCTTTCATTGCCTACTTCTCTCGTGCTTTGCCTTGCACACCCACCCCTTGCTTTGCCTACAACTCCTTTGCCTTGCCCTGCCTACCCCTCCCTTGCCTTGCATTGCCTTGCATACCCATCCCCACCTTCACTTGCCTATCCTTGCCTTGCCTACTCTGCCCTGGACTTGCATTTTATAGTTTTACAAAATCCCACCCTTTCAGGTCAGTTTAATACATTCATTTTTGCCTAAAAAGGGTTTTTTTCTCCGAAAAGGGGGACGTTCCCCTCCTCTTACTTGGCTGCAAGGCATTGCCTGTCAAAATGATGGATCCTCCTTTGTTCTCAGTCCATGGGGAGAGAGGCCCCTGTGCTCAGAAATGGCCAAATGGCCAAAAAGGTTTTCATGTTTTTTTTGGAGCTTTATATTTGCCTAAAAATTCCCTATCCAGGCCGCAAGGAGCCCTGGCACCAGGCCCAAGCGGGACTGGGTACCTTACAACTTTGCGAAACGCCTATAAGTTTTCTAAAAATTTGTTTGTAATAAAACCCATATTTTTATTTCTCATTAGGGGAGGGAAAATAAAAAAACGAGGGTTCATCTTATTAGATCTCACCTCCACAATATAGTGTCATTAAACCAGGATACACTGGTGCACAATGTACTCTGATGCTCTTGGGGCATGTGGGGGCAGAATTTATTTCCATATCTGGTGTGACAGGGGGGTCCCAACAGTTGACTGTATTGGAAGCTGAAGTGAGCTTGACTGGGAAGGAGTGGCAAAACACCCCATTGTCTAGACCCCATGGGGTCTAGAGGCCCCATGTATCCTTGGTATCGATTACCTCAAAAATGGGTATTTCAAAGACCCAAAAGGGCATCAGTAGGCTTTTGGGATAGCTGCTGTAGGGACAGAAGGGATTAAACAGTTGAACGCATTGCCTGGTCTCTCAGAGGACCCTTCTGCTATGGGACTGCTAAAGGTTGAGGAACACCAGGTGCCAATTGCCACTGCAACAATGCATCATCAGCAATACAGCACCAACAGAGACTCCATGATTCTCATCCATGAGATGATTCACAAGCTGGAAAGCCAAGGAGTGGTCAGCAAGACTCGCTCACCCTTTAACAGCCCTATATGGCCAGTGTGTAAATCCAGTGGAGAGTGGAGATTGACAGTGGACTATTGCAGCCTGACTGAAGCTACCCCACCGCTGAGTGCTGCTGTGCCAGACATGCTGGAGCTTCAGTATGAACTGGAGTCCAAGGCAGCAAAATGGTGCCACCACTGACATTGCCAATGCATTTTTCTCCATTCCTTTCGCAGCACAGTTCAGGCCACTGTTTGCTTTTACCTGGAGGGGTGTGCAGTACTCTTGGAACCGATTGCCCTAGGGGTGGAAACTCAGCCCCGCCATTTGCCATGGACTCATCCAGACTGCACTGGAAAAGGGTGAGGCTCCAGAACATCATCGTATGGGGGAACACAGCAGAAGTCTTTGAGAAAGGGGAGAAGATAACCCAGATTCTCCTTAAAGCTGATTTTGCCATTAAACAAAGTAAGGTCAAGGGACCTGCCCGGGAAAGTCAGTTCCTAAGAGTGAAGTTGCAAGATGGACGTTGCCAGATTCCAACAAAGGTGATTAACAAAATAGCAGCTATGTCCCCTCCAACCAGCAAGAAGGAGAAAGAAGTCAGGCTTTCCTGGGCACCATAGGTTTTTGGAGGATGCATATCCCAGAGTACAGATTGTGAGCTCTCTCTACCTTGTGACATGAAAGAAAATCAACTTCAGGTGGGGCCCTGAATGACAGCAAGCCTTTGAGCAGATCAAACAAGACATGCACTGACTGCCAGTGCTGGGCTGGATGTTCAAAGAAAAGATTCCTTCCACACATCATGGCACTGATGCTACATAAAGTAAGTGGATTTCTCTGATCACACAGGGAGCTCGGATAGAGAATCCTAATTGCCCTGGGATTTTGGAAGTCATCACAACTTGACCTGAAGGTAAGAATATAGGACTATAATCAGAAGAGGAAGAGGAGCAGGTGACACATGCTGAGAAGGCTCCACCATATAATCAGCTACCTGAAAATAAAAGTGATACACTCTCTTCACTGACGGTTCCTGTCGTATTGTAGGGAGAAACCGAAAATGGAAAGCAGCTGTATGGAACGAGTTGCAGAAGCTAGTGAGGGACAAGGTGGATCAAGTCAGGTTGCAGACCTGAAAGTTGTCCAGTTGGCTTTGGGTATTGCCGAACGAGAGAATTGGCCAACACTCTACCTCTACCCTGACTTGTGGATGGTAGCAAACACTCTGTGGGGATGGCTAGACAGGTCAACTGGCAGTGCAGAGGAAAACCCATCTGGGCAGCTGAGATGTAACAAGACATCTCTGCCCAGTTGGAGAAATTGATGGTGAAAGTACATCATGTAGATGCACATGTACCTAAGAGTTAGGCTACAGAAGAACATTGCAAGAACGAACAGGTGGATTGGGTTGCCAAGATTAAATTGTCTCAAGTAGATTTGGACTTGCAACACAAAGGTGAATTATTTCAAGCTCGGTGGGCCCATGATGCCTCAGGTCACTAGGGAAGAGATGCAACATACAGATGGGCTCATGACCGAGGGGTGAATTTAACCATGGACACTATCTCCTAGGTTATCCACAACTGTGAAACATGCACTGCAAAGGAAAAGATGGGTGTTCGTCCCCTCTGGCAGTGACAGAGCACTGTGATATGTGAGCAAGCCATGCAGTTCACATTTTGCTAAGAAAATTATATGTTTTAGCTTTCAAGGGAAGCAGGCAAGAGAGAAAATCATAGGAGGGAGGGTCTAAGAATTAGTGGTGAGGACATTAGCCTTTTTTTGGATTTCCAGTGACTCCCCTTTTGGCTGGGACTCGTGGTGTGGCCTCCACTTGTGGCAAAGCAGCTATATCTCCCCCCAGGGAAGACGACGAAGGCCCATCCATTCCCTTCTGCAACTCAGGCAAGGAAAAAACAGTTCCACCCCTATACTTAAAGAGACAGTCCATCAAAAATGACAAAATGGGATAGAATACATAATTTGTCATACCCACCTAATGCTAGACCTCGTCTCCTTCTCCTATAACTAGGATATTATCCCCCCCTTTTTCTATACCATTTACACCATGCCCAAATTTACACCCTTCAACTCTATACATATATATATATATATACCAAAATTCTTAGAAAAAAATCAAGATAGAATAATTTGTCTACAGCTTGTGGTATATCTAGCCAAAAAAAAAAGAACTGAGGAATTTTTTTGAGGTGAAGGAGTAAGGATCTGACATAGAAGAAAAGAGATGTCAACCCTGTTGAGAATTGTTAGGGTCAATAGCTTTGCTTAGCAGTAGAAGCTAAAGCAGTTGAAGACTGAGGCCGCAAGAGCTGACCAAGAGTAAACATCTTGATAAAACTAATGCTGCAAACTGACAGATGCAAGTAGAATGAAGAAGATGAGGACCAAGGAGGCAATTCCAAGAGAATGAGGAAACTTCAGAAGAAGGCCAGTCCAGCGACCAGGAAACCCAATAAGAAATCAAGAGACCACCAACCAGAATTAAGTGATTGGTCTTGGGGATCAGGTGCTGGGTGGTATGGGTATAATTGGTGTGCGTGATTTGCAGTGGGGGTCTCTTTTCAGAGATACCCAGCTGGAGCTGCTCTGCATGTTGGATAAATAAACCACTTATTTACTCAGGGGATTGGCGACTCATCTTCTTTGAGCAGAAACCTAGGTCCGAGCCCTATTGAAGTGTGTTATGGAAATTATGCATGCCAGCCACAATAAAAAGGGGTTGATACTGGGTTTCTGCTGAATCAATAAGCTGAAAAGGAAGACATCTCTAAAGTCCCCCAGTGCTACAGCTTGAGCTGGGTGCCTCCAAAGAGGGACCCTAAACAACGAAATCCCTGGGCAATTATACCCTTACAATCTAAATTCCCCACCTCTCATGCGACAGTTTGGACCAGAATTAATATTAGGGTCTGGGGTCTTCTAGTTCTTCATTGGATCTTTTCCTTGTCTCTAAGCGGGCCCTTTCTTTTCTTATGTCTCAGGTTGCAGCTTGTGTTAATGAACGTAGTTTCCTTATCTTCTGGTTTGAACAAGCTCTGGGGCCTTCTTTTACTTGATTAGGTAAAAGTTCAAAATATCTATGTGAAAGTTCACAGCTTGCGGCCTAAGGCTTCAGCAAATTTAGCTATTAATGCTAAGGAAGTTATGGTGAACAATTTCCACATAAGTAGTATACAAAATAGTGCAACAAATGGCATCCACATAATTCCTTCCATGGTCTAGGGGGTGGCATAATTCCTGCAACAGATTTGGCAACCCAGATGGGAGGTGGCATCCACATAATTCCTAACATGGACTAGCTGGCAGCTGCATAATTCCTGCAACGGACCCACACATATTCAAAGGAAAAGCTAACCTTCAATTTCCAGTCACACTTGAACAAGGGCCTGAAGCCTGGGTGTTTATCTCCTTTATTGGTGACAGCACTTCCATAGCTACAACATAAAAATTGCTATTGCTTAGAGTAACTGAGAGAAAAAAATCTCATTTATTGAATTTAGAAAGACGGCAAAAGTTGCAAAACAAAAGGAACAAAACGAAAAGGAAAAATTACAACACGTGTTAGGTGTCCTAGGCACGCAGGATTCCCAGGAACACACCCTTCAATTCAAAAGTCCCGCTTTTTAAACATTCTTAAGGTTCAACCCCGTTTACGTCATAGAAGAGGCGTTCCCCTCTTTCTGGTTGGCTGTGTCGTGCTGGGAGGTGGAGTGTCCAGCAGCATGGCAGCTTCCAGGACCAGCCATGTGGTATAAGGGGTTTCCTTACCAATATTCATGTATAGTTCCCTATTCCTGTTTGCATGTTTCCCTGACACCGGTTCCAGGCTGAATCCGGCGTCTTACAACTCCGCGATACGCCCTATAGGTTGGTAAAGAAAAACTCTTATGTTAGTGATTTGCTAAATTCATTTGCTTGTAATAAAACCGATTCTTTATTTCTCACATAACCACTGTACCACAGACTTTAATCACCTCTAACTCGAATCATAAAATCATAGAATCATAGAATGGTTTGGGTTGGAAGGGACTTTAAAGATCATCTAGTTCCAACCCCACTGCCGCAGGCAGGGACACCTTTCACTAGAGTAGGTTCCACTGTGGCAAACAGAGAGGAAACACAAACATCTCAAAACCTTGCTTGCGACAAATGTATATACATACAACAAAACTACTGAGATAAAACATACACAAATATAACTATCTGTCATAGGTTTTCTTGTTGTAAAGAAAAAAACCCTGCTTGGAATTTTTTCCCTTTACCACTGTGAAAGAAAGGTGTTGAGCGAGGGAGGGGGGAGGAGATGGCCAGAGTGAGACGCGCACACACAAAAGGACTGGCTGATAGCCCCACATTCCAAGCTAATGGCTTCAGAAGACTGTAGGGGGAGGTGAGTGTTTTTTTCTTCTGGGGACGGCACTTTACTTTTGTCCTGACTCAGGGAGTGTGTGTGTGTGTGTGAGAAGAGTTTGGGGCTTCATTTTCTTTTGGGTCAAGTCATCTAGCTGCTTTTGGCCCCGGTTCGCCTCCATTCCCTCATGCCCTGTTCTGCCCGCTGCCTGGACTTGCCTCGGATTTCGAAAAACTGGTACCATCTGCAGAAGAACTTTTGAGGGGAAAGGCTGCACTTCCCCCTCCTCCACCTCTGTGCCACTGGCAGTTTATACCCATTGACAAAGGAAGGGGAGGTGCAGCCAGAGCCAGTCTTTGACAGCTGGAGTCCACAGGAGGAATCACCTTTTTCCCCTTCTGTCTTCCCCCTTCCATGGGGGTTCCCGTTCGGCTGCCTCCCACGCGCCAGGCCCCGCAGCTGTGGCAGCTGCCAGAGCCAAACAGTGCCCCCTGCTGACCAGGGGATGGGTATGCAAGGCAATGCAAGGCAAGGCAGGGGTAGGCAGAGCAAGGTAAGGCAAGGGAGAGCTGGGCAAGTCAAGGTGGGGTGTTGATGGCAGAAAGGCACAAAAAGAGTTAATGCTGGTACACCTTGCCCTGCTGAGCCAGGAGAAGGTAATTGCTTAAAGATATTTGTTCTGCCTGCCTCGCTAGAAGAACATTGTAGGAATACTGGTTAATGTCTTGTTCTGTTTACCGGACCAAAGTCTCAATACTAGGGAATGGCCCACAAGGTAATAAATCAGGTAAACTAGATGTTTTAAGTACATATGGGGGGGCCCAGAGCCAGGATTTTGCAAACTTGAGGAATCTAGGTCACCTAACAAAGAAAGTTGAAAAGCTCACCTTGATGAAGACCAGCGTGGTGACCACCAGGGGATGAAGGCTCAAGTAGGAGACCACCCTAGTAAAGAACTATGCATGTGCCAAGGAAAATTCTGGAAAGTTTCCGCCCAGAGACAAATCTACTTATTAATATGTATGTTAGAAGGTGTAACCGTGTATCTAAAGTGTATAAAATGGCTTGGTTTTGCACTTTCGAGCTGAGCAAGTTTTGTGTGGTGCAAGCCACCTTGCTCCCAAGGTTGCAATAAAGAAATATTTTGCTGCTTTAAAGATGCAAAGTCTCTGAGCAGTTCTCTCATTACGAGGTTTTTCGGCATCACCCTCCAGATAATTTTGCCTAAGCTCTTCTGTGGGAACAAGCTGAGTCAGTCACACCTGCGTTTAGTTAATTGGAATCAAAAGGGAGGACTGACCTTGGCTAAGTGTTTTGACAGAGAGAATGTTGTGTTTCTCAAAGTGGAAAACCACTTAACAGTCTGCATGATAGTGTGCGTTTTTTTTCATGGCTGAACACAGCCACCACATGTGAGTGTGAATGTGTGGGATCAAAACACTGGTTTAGGACAATCCTGGGAATTCTGGTTAACTAAAAGACAACAACAAGTGCTGTTTATGAGAGAATATGAATAAAAGGGTGTAATGGGTTTGTTACCCTCCCTGGGAGGGAAAAGAAACTAGATAGATCACCTAATTCATATTGTGCCAATAAGGTATTCCATACCATGTTACGTCAGCTCAGATATAAAAGAGACGAGAAGGAAGCAAGGTCACTCTCTTCTCTTCTGGGTAGCTGCATGGAATAGTCGGGCCGTTTCTTCTTCGGAGGAGAGGGTTTTCGTGGGGAAGTAGTCTTTATTGTTAGTTCTTCTCTGTGTGTATAGTGCTTATAGATTTTCTCCTCTCTGTGTAAATATTAAACCTCCTTTCTTAGCAGGTTCAGTTTCGCAGTTTTTTTTCCTTTTCCCTCTTTCCTCCTCTCCTCTCCTCTGGGGGGAGGCTGGGCGCAGACCCGGTGGATACCTGGTGTTCAACCAAGGTAAACAATAACAATTCTGGTGCTGAAACCCGGGAAGACTGCCAAGAAAGGTTGTTTATATAAACACTGCCTCGCTTATCTTTTTGTTTTTGCTAACTTGGGAACATACTAATATAAAACATGGCCGTATGCCCAGCTTTAGTATTTATACTTGTACTTTTACTAACAGTCTTTCTGGGATGTGGAACTTACCCTTTGAAAGACCTCCAGGGGGATGGATACAACTTTCTTTCCCTTTTTAATTTTGACATAGATGGCTTTGCAATGAAGGTACCAATGATCTTTACTAACCCTTACTTGAGTTGTCTGGCCATGGGACTGCTTATAACCAACACTATGAGAACGTTATGGGGATTGAGGACTGTAGTATTGTCTTTGTTGCCTTGTTGCAGGACAAAACAACCTTCGAGAGAGAATTTACTGGGATGTGCCTTAAAGGGCCTGTTCCAGGGAAAGTTCGGAAGGATGCTGAGATTGAAACCAAAACACAGTTGAAAGCTCAAAAACCCAATATTTATTACAAAGAAGTGGCCAAGTAAACGGGAACCCGAGAGAAAGAGAAAAATGAGGGAAATAAGCCCTGAATGCAACACCCTACTCGCTCAGGTGTCACTTACGAGGTTATCTTTCCAACTCTGAATGCCAAGAATCCTCTGTAGCATCTGTGTCCTCAGAGGGTCAGCAGGTTCACACATAGCGGGCGTCCCCGCAAAAGGCAACATGGTCCTTCATGTGAAGCATGAGTCCCACTGAGCACGAACCATCTGCTTTTTATCCAATTAATTGGTGACGTCTACCTGGGCAGGTGTGGCCAGCACCGCCCAGCTAGAGGCCTTCGGTCCCTCCCCCCGTTATGTAAGTGGTGCCCCTTCTGCGCATGCGTGTGTACTTTGGAATTCCCCCCTCGCTTGCACACTATACCTCAGGGGGTCTTTTCTAAATGATTCTGGGGGAGTACTTCATCACCTTCCTCTTCACTTTCTCCTTCAAATGCCCTTGGAAGGCCATCAGTCAATAGTAAGACACCAATTAATTGTAGTTTGTACAAAACGCTTCCTTCAAGGATGAAGTTCCCATTTATCAGTGCTTGTTTTCTCATAACTTGACAGGAAAAGGATAGACTCTCACAGGTGGCTAGGCCAAACACAGACCAAAAGTATCAACATCTAATTAAGCCCAGAAACAGGGCCCAGTTCCTGAGTGACAGGGAATGTGGATGAATTTAGGCAGGTTCTTAGGGCATCTAACACCCCCCATTGCCTGGGACTTCACATCAGAACAAGTATTCAACCCTTACAAACTGACATGTCATTTAATGGAAGGATGCCTTGCCTACCTCGATCAAATCCAGCAACTTCTTGCCCTGTACTGGGGCCTGACCTGTGCTTATTGAGCTGCAGTTCACTAGTCTAAAAAGACTATGACTGAGACAGGGACCCAAACTACGACATCTGAGGTCATTATTGCCCCTGTAGTGAAAAGGAAGACATGGGTAAGGAGATCTACAGGACCTACAGGTCTACCTCTGCAATTAGTAAAGGAGGAAGAAGGAGAAGGATCTACCCCGTCCGTGCCTCCAAGAAAAGAAGGGGAGGCAGGACAAATAGCCAGTGATTCACTAGAGGAAGCAGAAGCAGTTCCATGTGAGAGAAGCAGAGAGGAAATCAGACAGGAAAGCAAAGTTACCCGGTCCCTGGCCCCATCAGAACTTCGGGACTTGCAGAGAGATTACAGCTGCCAGCCTGGTGAAAGAATTCTTACTTGCCTGCTCTGCTGCTGGGATAACGAGGCTAGTAGTCACCTGTTAGAAGATCATGAAGCACAGTAACTAGGATCTATTGACAGAGATCGTGAAATCGAAAAAGAAATTGGAAAGGAGAAAGGCATTCGCACTCTTTGTGTTCAACTCTTCTCAAGTGTGAGAGAAAGGTATCCGTTCAAGGAAAATCTAATGAGCTCCCCAAGAAAGTGGACTACTGCAGATGGAGGCATCCAGTACCTGCGGGAATTGGCAATGCTGGAAATCCTTTACAATGGCACATACAATCCCCTCTTCAGCAATCCAGAGGATGTCCCTTGCATGCTGCCCATGTGAAGAAAGGTAATTCAAGGTGCCCCTGCATCACATGTTAACTGCCTGGTAACAGTATACCATCCAAAGATGGATGAACCAACTGAGGACAAGATGTCTGCCTGGATACGGAGTACAGAAGAAGGTATGGAAGCCAACTCACTCCCATGGGCCATCAAATTAGATTCCAGAGACAGCTCTGATCTCCGCCACTGGCACACCTACACTGAGGAGAGGCCTTACAAGTGCCCCGAATGTGAGAACCGCCGCAGAGAGAGCCCAAGAGATTGGTCTCGGTCTCCTGTCCCACTCAGAAGGAAAGGAAGTCCCAAGAGTAGACCACGTGGTGAACTATGGTTCTTTCTGCATGACCAAGGGGAAGACATGAAGAAGTGGGATGGTGAACCTACCTTTAAACTTGAAGCCCGGGTACGAGAATTAAGAGGGAAAAAACCTAGTAAGAAGGCTGTCCATGTAGTTGATGCAGAGGCCCCGGAAAGAAATCAGCGACCTTTGAGATGCAAAAAGGCTGAGATCAACTCCTGTGATCCTGATGAGGAGACCTCTGATTGGGCAATGCAAAGGTCAGACAGTGAATACTCTGACCAGGAACAATAGAGGGGCCCTGCCTTCAGCCAGGAGAAGGAAAGGGACGATAGGGTTTACTGGACTGTGTGGATTCGATGGCCTGGCTCATCAGATCCGCAGAGATATAGAGCTTTAGTAGACAATGGTGCACAGTGCACTTTGATGCCATTGAGGCATAAAAGCACAGAGCCCATCTGGATTTCTGGAGTGACAGGAAGAAGTCAAGAATTATCAGCGTTAGAGGTTGAAGTAAGTTTAATGGGGGACAAATGGGAAAAGCACCCCATTGTGACTGGCCCAGAGGCCCCTTGCATCCTTGGCATTGATTACCTCAGGGGAGGATACTTCAAAGATCCAAAGGGGTATCAATGGACTTTTGGTGTAACCACAGTGGCTGCAGAGAAATTTAGACAATTATCTACCCTGCCCGGCCTCTCAGAAGATCCTTCCATCGTGGGGTTGCTGCAAGTCAAGGATCAACAAGTGCCGAAGGCCACTACAATAGTACATAGATGACAATACCGAACTAACCGAGATTCTGTGATTCCCATCCATAAGATGATCCAAGAGCTGGAGAACCAAGGTGTGGTCAGCAAGACCCACTCACCCATCAATAGTCCCATCTGGCCTGTATGTAAATCTGATGGAGGATGGAGACTGACTGTGGACTATCGTGGCTTGAATGAAGTTACCTCGCCTCTGAGTGCCGCTGTGTCAGACATGTTGGAGCTCCAGTATGAACTGGAGTCCAAGGCAGCAAAGTGGTATGCCACCATTGATACTGCAAATGTGTTTTTCTCCATCCCCTTAGCAGCAGAATGCAGGCCGCAGTTTGCTTTTACATGGAGGGATGTGCAGTACACCTGGAACCGACTGCCCCGGGGGTGGAAACACAGTCCCACCATCTGCCATGGACTAATTCAGGCTACACTAGAGAAGGGTGAGGCTCCAGAACACATACAATATATTGATGACATTATTGTATGGGCGGACACAGCAGAGGAAGTTTTTGAAAAAGGGAAGGAAATCATCCCGATTCTTCTCAAAGCCGGTTTTGCCATCAAAAAGAGTAAGGTCAAGGGACCTGCCAAAGAGATTCAATTCTTAGGGGTGAAATGGCAAGATGGACGTTGTCAGATTCCAACAGAAGTCATCAATAAGATCATAGCGATGGGTCCACCGACTAACAAGAAGGAAACACAAGCTTTCCTAGGGGCCATAGGTTTTTGGAGGATGCATATTCCTGAGTACAGCCAAACTGTGAGTCCTCTTTACTCAGTGACCCATAAGAAGAATTATTTCCAATGGGGTCCTGAACAACAGCAAGCCTTTAAACAGATTAAGCAGGAGATTGCACATGCCGTGGCACTTGGACCAGTCAGGACAGAACCAAACGTGAAAAATGTACTTTATTCTGCAGCTGGGGATAATGGTCCTTCCTGGAGCCTCTGGCAAAAGGTGCCTGGTGAGACCTGAGGCTGACCACTTGATTTGCTGCCCAGGCTTGGCTCCTCCTCAGAACCAATTAAGGTGAGT